CCCAGCTACTTGGGAGGTGGAGGCAGGAGACTCGCTTGAGCCCAGGAGTTGGAGGTTGCTGTGAGCTGTGATGCCATGGCACTCTACCCAGGGGGACAACTTGAGGCTCTGTCTCAAAAAAAAAAAAAGAAGCCAAATCCAGAGGAAAGGGTTCCTGTCAGGGGCATCTGCAAGTATAAAGAGTCTAAGATAGAAATGAGTTCAGTGAGTTTGACCAGTCAAAAGTTGGCTATGAGAGTAAGAGCAAGAGAGAGGGAGGAGGAGAGTTGATATAATAGTTGAAACTGGAAAGTTCAGGGCAGTGTCAAATTGGAGGCATGAGTTACATGAGAACACCTGCCATTTTCAAAATCAAATGAAATCTACTCTATGATTGTTTCCCTGATCTTTTTCCTCCACACCCCACTCCCACCCCCAACCTTGAAGCCTCCTTTGCCCTATGCAATGGCTGTCCTGTACCTCTCTTTTGTTTAGGGGCCTCCAAGGTGTTCCTCCCTTCAAGCCCCGATTATGCTGCTCTCAGGACATGAAGGGGAAGTATATTGCTGCAAGTTTCACCCGAGTGGATCAACTTTAGCATCTGCAGGATTTGACCGACTGATATGTAAGGCATAGTTTTTTAATATGGAATAATTGTTCTCTGCTAGATAGTGAACATTTTTTAAAATCTTGGGTGCTGGCCAGGCATTGTGGTGGACACCTGTGGTCCCAGCTACTTGGGAGGCTGAGGCAAGAGAATCGCCCAAGCCCAAGGAGTTGGCGGTTGCTGTGAGCTGTGACGCCATGGCACTGTACCGAGGGTTAATAAGTAAAACTCTGTCTGAAAAAAAAAAATCTTGGGTGCCATAAAAGTTGCCAGTCTTGCTCAGCACCTGTGGCTCAAGTGGCTAAGGCACCAGCCGCGTACACCCAAGATGGCGGGTTCAAATCCAACCCGGGCCCACCAAACAACAATGACGGCTGCAACCAAAAAATAGCCAGGCGTTGTGGCAGGCACCTGTGGTCCCAGCTACTTGGGAGGCAGAGGCAGAAGACTCGCTTGAGTCCAGGAGTTGGAGGTTGCTGTGAGCTGAGATGCTACGGCACTCTGCCCAGGGGGACAGCTTGAGGCTCCTGTCTCAAAAAAAAAAAAAGTTGCCAGTCTTAAGTTGCCAACATAACAATCCACATGGCTAATATGCTAAAATTGGACTATAAAAATGTTGAATGATTATCAGTGTAGAACTTGGTATCTGTGTAGTAAATACCAGAAGGAAAGAATTTTACTAATTGTTACATGAGTTGCTCAGGTTGACAATATCTTTCTCATGGAGGCAAATCTTGAGCTGATGTAGCAAGACAATTAGCATTCTAGCCTTAAATGGTTAGTGGAAGTAATGAGAGAAAGAACCTTTCTTTTCCCAAAGGTATGAGATCTTCCTCTTGATCAACTCCCAGAATCCTAGCATATTGGAAGAAAGGAAGGAGATCCTAAAGTACAACTCACATAAATAATCTACCTGTACATTATTGGGATTTGCTACCAGATTCTCAGCTATATAAGTTAGAAATACTCATTTTTGAAAAATAAGTAGAAAAGGTCATTTGGGGAGAATCATGAGAAAAAGCAAGAGTAGGGCTAACAGAGCTTCTGACTTTTTTTCCTTCTGGTTTCATTTGCTGGATTATGAAATGAAATGAATTCTTTGGTTCTTCACTGGTAACTCTGTACCTCAAAGTGGATGCTCTCTGTCTTTACTGCCCATTTTGATTTGGATATTGTAGCTCTGTGATCCTTACTTAAACTTACAAGTAGCTAAGCATCT